AAGGTGGAATTTGTTGTCAGAGGGCAATTTTTGGAATGAATTGGATAGAAACATCCTTTTAGCCAGTTTTTTTTTTCATGATTCACTTTGCAGTTTGGTTTTCTCACTCTCTCCTCCACCATTGAAGCTTCCATTCTCTCTTCCACCATTTGACGCATCATCTCTCTCCACGTTTGGGTTCTCTTCGTTCCTCGCTTTCTTCACCACCATTGAATGTTTTGTTTCTCTCCTCCCTTTTTGAGTTTGAGTTCGAGCTTTTCTTACTTCGTTTTCTTGGGTCATTTGGGTCACTGTCTGAGGATTTTGTCCTCTCTCTCAATTTCCTTTCCTTCATTTTTTGATGCTGTGACTGTGGTGCTCTTGGCTGGTATTATCCCTCATTTTGGAATTTTGTTGATTTTGGCGTGCATTGTCCCGTTGGCGACATTTTTCGTGGTTATTAAGGTCTTTTGGCTTTTGTCCTCCCATTGTGGTTGGCGGTATTTCTCCCAATGTTTGGGTTTTCTTCTACACACACCGTAGAGTTGGTATCACCAAGGTTTGGGCTTTTTTCGCCACACCAATTGATTCATTACCAAACTTCACATTATGAAGTTGTAGAAACCATCAACATGACCAACAAGGGTCTTCCTTCATTCAATTAAAAATCTTAAAAACACTCATAACAAACCAAAAAACAATCCATTGGGGAGCGCGGTTGTCCACACCTGGGTAGCACAGATCATCTTTCAGTAAAAACTGCAATTTAACCTGGTACGATTACAACCTTTCTTTAAGCGATTACAAGTGCATGTCCTCCAGTGTGTTATGGTGGCAGACTCACCTGCCTTTGCTAAGACCCCAGGAGGTCTTCCCTACAACAGAGACTTACTAACTTCACACTACAAGTTGGTGAAACCATCACAACCATGACCAACAAGGGTCCTCCATTGACAATATCTTAAAAAACACTACAACAAACCAAAAAACAATCATGGGGAGCGCAATTGTCACATTTGGGTAGCGCAGATCAACTTTCAGTACAAAATTACAATTTTAACCTGGTAATCGATACAACTTCTCTGTAAGCGATTATAAGTGCATATGTCCAGTTGTATGGTGTAGGCAACATGTTAGCTCATTGAATTGTTGAGAAAAGGAAAAATTCAACAAACAAATAGAGAATGGGGAGCAGTGTTCAATAGCCGGGGAGAGTACAGTTGAAGTTTTTCTGTACATTACCCTTTTTTCCTCTGGTAATCGATTATCAGGGGTCTTGTAATGATTTACCAGAGAAAAAGGGTAAATGTGTACAAAACTGTCAACTGTACTCCCCAGCTAGCATGAAACACTGCTCCCCAACGTCTGTTTTTTTTGAACTTGCTACTTGTTTTTTTCTTAACTTTTCTCCACCGAACTCCAAATGACTTGATTCTTGTTTTGTTGGAATCTAGACTCAAAGAGCTTTCCAACAAAACAAGAATCAACTCATTTGGAGTTCGCATGGAAATGTTATGAGGAAAACAACCAGCAAAGGTCAGAGGTGGTATATATACAAACGTTAACTTTAAGGAATTACTGCACCTACTCAGATGTCCAAAAATTATAAATTAGTAGTCCATTGGAAAGATATTTTTAGTCTACTTTCCTAATAAAAAAAAATCACATCATTTTGGAGTCTGTGGAAAAAGTTTGAGCAAAACAACCAGCAAAGGTCAAGGTGGTAGAAATATATAAAAGTTAACTTTAAGGAATTAACTGCACCATTCAGGGTCCAAAAATATAAATTAGTATCATTGGAAAAAGATATTTGAGTCTACTTTCCTAATAAAAAAGAATCACATCATTTGGAGGTCTGTGGAAAAGTTATGATTTGAAAATGGTCAGCAAAGGTCAAAGTTGACAGCATGGGTTATCACCTCACCTCAATTTGGAGAAAACCCGAACCAAGGTAGTTTCAAGTTCATGAACAGTTTTTTGCACAACTCGTATGAGGAAGAAGGTTATTACTTCTGCAATCAAATTTGATCGACAACCATCTTTCTTAAATTACATTTCATTGTATACTGTTATGTATCTTTTCTTTCAAAACTTGTTGTTTCGTGAAATGTCCATTACGTTTTTTTTTATTATGGTATGTGCTTTTTTAATATTGTTTATAATTTTTCATTACTCAATACCCTTCATTATTTCGTTTTATATTTGTTTAAATATGAAGTCATCCAACTTGAAGTGTTCCATTAATGAGTCCATGCCATAAACCTTCAAAGACAGTCATAACGAATCCAAAATATTACTGGGGAGTGCTTAGCCACGTCTGGGTAGCACCTCTTCAACTTTCGGTACAAAAGTAGATTTTTTCTACTGGTAACGATTTACCAGCTCCCTGTTAATCGATTACAAAACATCATTTTCTTTTGTCATGGTGCAGGAACTCACCTCTCAAACCCAGAAACACCTAACTTGGTCTTTCAATGATGACGAACAAACAACTGCAAAAATGGAGGAGGGAGAACACTTCTAATAGAAGAAAGTTGAAATGAAATTCCAATCCCTAAAATGGCGAGAGAAACAGTGAAAAGGAAGAGAAGATAGAGTTCGAAAACGAAGAGGGCAGTTTCAGAATCCAAACTTCAACCCATTCTAAATCAGATTTTAAATTAAAAAAAAACATTCAAATTCGACCAATTAAAACTTGACACGTGGCGTTGTCAAATCTTTGTCAAATTGGCGTTGTTGGAATATCGCGATCCAAAACAAAATTCTTTATAATCTATTCTAACAATATAATAATATTATTAAAATGTATAAACAAATATAATTAAAACATTAATATATTAAAGTATCAACTTGTTATATTATTTTTCTTTCAAATCCTCCGTATAGGTTTATATCTATGGTAGCATTTTCATTTTTATAAAAACTCCACTTTAACTGAAATCTCACTAGTTTCTTACATGTAAAAGTCAGTAACTATATGAAATTACTCTAGGTTTATCTATGGGTAATCTTTTTTTCATTTTTATAAAAACTCCCACTTAATGAAGCTCATTATTTTCCTTACATGTAATTTTTACTGAATGATTTCTTTTACTAAACAAAAATCTATTAAGATAACATGGTACCAGTGGTATTCAAATTTATAAACCAAGTCTTACAAAATGTCAATTATAATTTAAAAGTGCTAAATTGACAAATTAGAGAATCAATACTCCAATTAAAAACTAATTTATATTATTACCAAAATTTTAGCTACTTATAATTATTAATATTAATAGAAACTAATTATAAGTAAAATTTTTGTTTGCCTAACATCTTTCCTTAAATATAGAATTTGCATTTGATCTGCAGGCACCTGATTTTGGGTGCCACGGATACAAGCACTGTCACTCTTACATGGGTGATATGTTTCTTGTTGAAAAATCCTCTTATATTAGAAAAGGTAAAAGAAGAGATTAGCACTCACATTGGGAAAGAGAGATTCATAAGTGAGTCAGATGTGAATAAGTTAGTATACCTTCAAGCAGTAGTGAAAGAGACACTGAGATTGTATCCACCAGGACCTCTTTCAGCACCTCGTGAATTCACAGAAGATTGCATGTTAGGTGGATATCACATAAAAAAGGGAACTCGATTAATCACAAACTTGTGGAAGATCCAAACTGATCCTAATATTTGGTTGGATCCATTGAAATTCAAACCAGAAAGGTTTATTACTACTCACAGAGATGTTGATGTTAAAGGTCAAAATTTTGAGTTGCTACCGTTTGGAAGTGGCAGAAGAATATGTCCAGGAATATCCTTTGGTCTTAACATGATTCATTTAACTCTAGCTAATTTTTTACATTCTTTTGAAATATTTAGTAAACCTAATGAAACTATTGATATGAGAGAAGCCCTTGGAATGACCAATGAAAAAGCCACTCCACTTGAGATTTTTGTTAAACCAAGTTTGTCCTCAAACTATTATGAATCCCATGTGAATGTTAAAAAAGCCTTTTAAAACCAATCAATGAAACAATGCCACGTGGCGTTGTCAAAAAGTTGGCAAAATATTGTTGTCGAACAAACATTTTCCTTTTGTTTTATAAGGCGCGCGTAAAGTATAATTTTTCTTTAAATGAACCAGAAACAGATTAAAGAAGCAATAAGAGGACAAAATTTAAGCATATACAATCCCTGAACAATTGTTATATGCAACACACATACCAGTGTTGTGGCTTTGTTTATAGTAGCAGCATCGAAGCCATCGATGGTGGCACCTTCAAGAACTGAAAGCATCGTATCCATGAAGTCTTGGTCGTCACTTTCAACACCCTTTTCACCAAATAAAGCCCTCTTCTTGCTGTGCTCCACCAACCACTCATCTAAGATCACATCCAATTCTTTGGCAGTTTCTTTCATGGCTTTCACTCCCAAATTCATCCACCTCAGAACAGGAACAGCATCAGCCACCGTGCACACTCCCAACATCTGCATGAACTCCCTCAAAGCCTTCACACACTTTTCTGCATCTTTCTCGCTAACCACTGCGGTTTTACCTATTGCCAAAACAAATCTCTCTTCAATATATCTTTAAATTCAAACAACAAAAATGGAAACAACCTTCTTTTAATCACACTTTATAAGGTTTTCTGAGATGCAAGATCAGAAAAGAGTGCTTCTAATGCTTGTTTTTAGACAGAAAGATTTTACCAAATAATCGCTTCCCAGCCATGGTTTGGAAAACTATATTGAACACCAACTCTGTGAACCACTGCTTCATCTCCACCACCACACACTCATCACTCCCCTTCTTCTCCGACCAAACATGAAACAGCTCTTTAACAGAACTTCGAATCTCAGAAACCCTAACGCGGGTTAGAAGCTCCGTTTTGCGGTCGGAGAGGAACACGGTCACAATCTTCCGTATCTCACGCCAGTAAGGACCATAGGGTGCGAACCCAAAACTTGCTTGGTTGTACGCAACGTGTTCGATGGCCACGAGCTTGGAGCGAGAGGAGACGACGACGTCGTTTGTGGTGTAACATTCTTTCGCCATTTTCCAGTTGCTGAGAACCAAAGCGCGTCTAGAACCGAGCTTGATGGTGAAGAGGGGTCCATATTTGTCAGCCATGGCTGCCAACGTCTTGTGGGGTGTTGGTGAGCCCCCGAGAAGCATGAGATGGCCGAGTATGGGCCATGCACCAGAGGCCATTGGAGGTTCTGGCAGATTACTACCAGCTTTGGAGGGACGAAAGCGAAACAGAGAGAAAGCTAATAGTAATGTTAGAGAAAAGAGAGCAAATGCAGTGGTGTTTAGGTTACTCACAAGGAACAAATCCATTTTGCTACGGTTGATGGAGGAATGATACATATGTTTATATGTGTTTATATGTTGTTTATATGTACTTCTAACTTAATCAAGAGTATCTAAATTAAGGGATACCAAAACTTGTTTTACCTTTTAAGATTGATTTCATGATTTTAACCGTGTTAGAACTTTAAGCCTAATTCAACTCTACATTTGTAAGGTGAGGTTTGTGTCCACTTATATATTATTAAATCGGTCTTATCCTTAATAGATGTGAGACTTTCAATTATTCCTAGTCGATGTGGGATTTCTAATACAAGCTCTTACGTCGAGGTATATACATTTCGAGCATGAGATTTAATTCTACAAAACCAACTTGTAAGGTAAAATTGAACTCATTTATATATTATAAATCGACATTATCCCTAGTCGACGTGAGACTTCCAACCGTTTGATTGAATTTAATAAATGATGATTTTACATTTTAAAAATAACAAAATGAAAAATATAAAGGGGCAAAAGAAATAGTAATTCATTGGAAATTATTGTCATATAAGAGAGGTTTAATCCATGACACTTGCACTCCTGTAATAAGAATGTCACTTTTGGTGTTTGTTCAGCAAAACTGGCTCACTTGGAAGGATAAGACGTCTAGCACAACTGAACAATTCAAAACAGACAAATAGAGAAAGAGAAAGAGTTGTTCTATGCTTATTTTAAGGTCAGATATACGAAAATAGTTTGAGAATAATATGCATGACCACATACAATAAAGAAGGACAAGATGGAAGGAAAAGTCCAAACACAAGTTAAACCTAGAGATTTTACCTATGGGGATGATAAACTTGGATCACTTCTATTCTATTTAAGAGAAAAAAAACAACAAAGTCGTGTTAGCACGCAGTGCAGAAAGGACTTTAGACGTCTGTTATTTTGGGCTTTTAATGTCTGATCCTGATCCGACTTCTTTGTGAGTGATATTAATGTAGACGTCGAACGGGATACACCGGACGTCTACATAGACGTCGAACGTGGCTACACCAGACGTCTGTGTAGACGTCGGACGTGGTTATACCAGACGTCTACGTAGACGTTGGATGTGGCGATAATTGGACGTCTATAGCACTAGAACATTTTGTCCACTGTAATTCATTGGGCATCTGTTGGTGCACTGACTAACGTCTATAGACGTCGGACATGTCATTAACAGACGTCTACTGAGTTTTTTTTTAAAAAGAATTAATTTATTTTTATAATAAAACCACACCTGAAAAACAGAAAATTGTCTCAGAACAGTATATTATAATATATATTATATATGCATTTCAACTAAAGAAAGTTAAACTAAACCTAATAATGTTCAACAACAAATATAAGTGTTTCTAGCTCTATCTTTGAAGAAGATAAGCTGTTCACTCTTGCCTTATCTGCTTAATTGTGTCCTCTGATATAGGAGACATACTCTTGAAGCGCTGTAAAATGAAGAAAGATTCATTATGGTTTCATATATGTTTAAAGATGAATTTTATTTGTAATCTATTGAAGGTATGCATCATTACCTCATTCCAGTCATCTGTAATGACTGCTCGAATGATGGTCTTAATCCAAGACATGACATAGAATCCACCTTCCCATGAATCTACCTGGTTGTTACACTAAAATGACAAACTAAATAGTCAATAATTTAGATCATTCAATAACATAGAAAATGAATTAGAACTATAAATGACTTACAACCTTTAGATACAAAACTTGAACTAGCTGTCCTCGGGATTTACCCATAACTCTATTTTAACAATCTTATTCATAAACTCCAACGTACGTCATAGCAAATAATGAAAAATAAATTTAGCTTTGGAGGGACGAAAGCGAAACAGAGAGAAAGCTAATAGTAATGTTAGAGAAAAGAAAGCAAGTGCAGTGGTGTTTAGGTTACTCACAAGGAACAAATCCATTTTGCTAGGGTTGATGGAGGAATGATACATATGTTTATATGTGTTTATATGTTGCTTATATGTATTTCTAACTTAATCAAAAGTATCTAAATTAAGGGATACCAAATATTCTTTTACTTTTTAAGATTCATTTCGTGTTAAGATTCATTTCGTGTTTTTATTTTAAGTATGTGTTAAAAAGTGGATTTTAAGTCTAACTCAATTTTACAAATTTGGCTTGTCCACTTATATATTACTAAATCGGTCTTATCCCTAATAGATGTAGGACTTCTAATTATCTTTAGTCGATGTGAGACTTCCAATACAACCTCTCACGCCGAGGTATATACATTTCGAATATAAAACTCAACCCTACAAAACCAGTTTGTAAGGTAAAATTGCACTCATTTATATATTATAAATCGACATTATTTTTAGTCGACGTGGAACTTCCAACCGTTTGATTGAATTTAATAAATGATGATGTTACATTTTAAAAATAACAAAATGAAAAATATAAAGGGGTAAAAAAAATAGTAATTCATTGGAAATTATTGTCATATAAGAGAGGTTTAATCCATGACACTTGCACTACTGTAATAAGAATGTCACTTTTGGTGTTTGTTCAGCAAAACTGGCACACTTGGAAGGATAAGACGTCTAGAACAACTGAACAATTCAAAACAGACAAACAGAGAAAGAGAAAGAGTTGTTCTATGCTTATTTTAAGGTCAGATATACGAAAATAGTTAAGTCGGCTGAGAATAAAATGCATGAACACAGACAATAAAGAAGGACAAGATGGAAGGAAAAATCCAAAAACACAAGTTAAACCTGGAGAATTTACCTATGACTTCTATTCTATTTAAAAAGAAAAAAAACAAAGTCGTGTTCAAATAGCACGTCATCTTCGTTTTGATGGTAGACAACTTTAAATGAAATGGTTACAATACTGCACATTTGTTTAATATTTTCAAACATCTGCCCCATCCCATAAAAAAACCGTTATGTTTGGTATAGCTAGTCATAGATTCCAAGTACAGGATTGAACTAATTACTTAATTAAAAGATTTAAAATTTTGCCAGCAAACTTTATTTTGTCCAGGGATCGATATTAAAGAAAGGAAAATTAATATTTATTATTAAATAGATTCTGTTATCGTTAATTAAATAATTTGATACTAACATAAATATCCATTTATTACTTATACTAAACTTACTTTAAAAATATCTAAACAATTTAAAAATAATTTTAATTTTTTAACTTTTTAAATTATATTAGAGTTGGCTAAATTTATTCAAATAACACCACAATTTCATCTATAATAATATACGTAAAAGTTAATTTGATATTTTGGTAAACTTATTAAAAATTTTAATAAGATTGGAATTCAACTTACTTCTTCATCAGAAAGCTAATTTCTTCTTGTTATGGACGTATATTCAGCGCGTCAATTTTGTTATATTTGGTGTAGCTAGTTATAGATTCCAAGTACAGTAGTTATAGATTCCAACAAGTTTGACCTAATTATTTAGTTAAAAGTTTTAAATTTTGACATGAAATTTTATTTGGTCCAGAGGGATATTGAAAAAGGAAAATTAATTACTGCATTGAGCTTTTGCAAGCAAATCAAGGAAGACAGTTAGGTTTGAGATTTTCATTTCCTATTTCCTCTTTACATAGAATTTGTGTTATACAGTTAAACAAAGTTACTTTTATATATGTTTTATCAAACACCATCCATCCAAGATATTCCTTTTTAATTCAAAATCGTAAAACCATGAATTTTATTCTTTAATTTACGTTAAATATAAGAATCAGCCTCATATTTAAAATTTCAACCGTTATATTATGATTTAACCAATTACATAATACTTGGTAAATATTATTATAACAAGGAAATTTTGATCACAAGCGTAGTTGGTGGCTTATTTAATTGTTGCTTAATAGGAGTACATGCAACTGGTTTCAGCATATATGAAATTAATTACTGACACACCTAGGCCAAACAAATGCTACACCTGAAGATTATTTCTCAAGTTCTAGTTCTTAAAACCCATATAGATTGTTTAAACCATCCTTATCATCTTGTCTTAGAGTCCGTCGTACCCCTGCATATGTGGGTGCCATAACCGCGTTAGGATCGTTACTGTGTCCAAGACCCAGATTGTGACCAAGTTCATGCAAACAAACAGTTTCAAAATCAATGGTTGGTGATATCCCTGTAGTGCTCCACCTTTCATCTGCATCCAAGTGCATTCTTCCATCTTGGGGAGCAAAAGCGTGTGCCAGAACCCCACCTCGCCCATCAAATGGGTACAAATCAAAGTGGATGCCACGGTGGAAGCCAGCGACTATGTCAGATAGACCAGTGGTTTCAATGAACGTGAAACTGTTGTTCTGTCACCAGGTGTTAAAGGCATTACACAATGCTTGTATAAAGACATTCAGGCTGACGGAAACAAATGAAGGAATTAAAGTCACTCGATAAATTAAGATAAACTTGCTCCATTTTGGACTTCCCGGGAAGTAAGTGTAGTTTTGGGGGGGCGACGACGACGACAAACCATTAGGGTTAGGGTTAGGAGTGGCTGTGATATCAGGCAATCCACAACGTGGGAGGCTCATGGTTTCGATGGTTTGATCATCCACCACACCACTGGTGTGCAAGCCATGGAAAGCTTGGTACTGTTTCAGAGCAGATTCATCGTTTGCGTCGAAGTTGTTGTCGGAAGGAGATTTTTCGTTTACTTGGTAGCCTAAATCTTTGAGGTAGATTCTTAGTGCACCTACGCCATCCGCGTTTTGTCCCCTACTAATGCCCCTCAGGTTTTGGAGAGTTGTTATAAATGGAATTGCAGACTCGACAGAGGGAAAAGGATTCAACGCACAGAGTACGAGGAACAAGAGTAAAGGTTTTAGAGCAAGAGACATGGTTGGATAAAAAAAGGAACTAGGGTTTCTGGTTTTGTAAATGTTTGATGTGTATTTTGGTGCATGGATGCATGGAAATTTATAGAAGGAAGGGGAGTTGGGATATTCTAATTCGTGTGGTCAGATGCATATTAGAGAAGACTTTTTTTATGTAAAATTCAATG